ATATATATATATATATATATATATATATATATATATATATGTACACATATACATAATATTCATGATATTTAATAATATTCAGGACTTTGTTTGTTTGTAGAAAATGTTTTTATTAGAATTCAGAAACAAACCATCAGACGTTACCATGGAAACAATAAACAACATCACGTCTCAGTGACATCACGTCTTCTTCTTCTTCTTCTGTGAGCGTCGTCTCTCCTCACCAGACTCGCACCTCAGACTCTTCTTCTTCACACTGAGGTTCTTCTGGCTGCTGGGACCTGGTCCCAGTCCTGGTCCGGTCTGGTTCTCCAGCTCCCCCATCCTCCTCTGAGGGGTCCGGTGAGTCTGGATGTGGATCTTCAGACTCTGTGTGGATTCAAACCGTTCACCACAAAGACCACAGACGGACTCTGAGTCCTTCAGGTGAGCTCTGAGGTGGTGGATCAGGAACCGGCGGGTCTTGAAGGTCCGGCTGCAGACCCTGCAGGAGGAGGGTCCTGCTGGTCTCCGGGTAATCTTTGGTTTCTGCTGGTCTGGAGCAGACCTGGTGTCGGTGGAGTCTTTACTGTAGTCCTCGCTGTCTTCGGTCTCAGAAGAGACCAAGTGGACCTCCTGATCTGGACCACAGGCTCCTGGTTTTAACCGGGCAGTCCTAGCAGCTGATAGGTCCAGGTCCTCATCGGACCTTGCTGCACCCCCAGAACTGAAGGTGAACTGGATGATGTCGGCCTCGTCCAGGTCGAGAAGCTGCTTTCCCTCCTGGTCCTGGTGTTCAGGGGGAACCTCCTGGTTCTTCATCAGCTGCTGTGTGAACGCGTCTGTAAACAAGTAGAACAACATTTAGCCTCTGAGTCAGACCAGAACCAACTGGACCTGAACCAGGGACGTGTGTAACACCTGGACCTGGTCTGAGTTTTAAGGGTCACAGGTAAAGCTGGACCGGGACCTCGACCTCACCTGCGGACGGAAGCTCCATCAGCGGTTTGTGGAGCGCGCAGAGCAGCGCGTGCTGGCGCGAGATCACCTCGCGACTCAGAGCCGCTTCTTCTTCGTACTGAACGATCGTTTTCTCCAAAACTCCCAAAATGTCCTCGAGCGCCGCGTTGAGCCGCTGAGTGACGAAGACCCGGATCTTCTGGACCCGGGACATGTTCTCACGGTGCTAATGATGCTAACGATGCTAACGGAGAGTAACAACAACACGGAGACTTCCGTAGTCCTTCTTCTTCTTTCGGGTTATTGGAGGAATACAAACCATCGTTTAAGGGTTATACCCCCGCCTAGTGTACGGAGTGTGTAACATCGGGACTTTATGACCGTTAGACCAGGTTCAGGGTTAGACCAGGTTTTTTATTTTTATTTCTTGGTTTATTTGATGAGGGACAGTAAACATCAATACAAACATTGCTGTAAATGCTCCAGAGTTAAAGCCATCTGTAGTCCCAAGAGACAGATGTTGCAAAGTAAACCTAAAAACAGAATATAAGATTAAATACAAGGTTATACAATATTGACCCTTTAATATAATATTAATATAAGTAGTATCATCATTCAGGAGACTCGTATACTGTCAAGTACTAACAAGACAACACAAAGCAAATACAATGAGGGAAAACTAAGTGAAATAGATGGATGGATGGATAGACAGACAGATACTTTATTCATCCTCAGGGGGAAATTTGTGGGTTACAGCAGCAAAAATATACTTCAGCAAATGAATTAACAGAGTAAAAATATTAAGTATGAAAAATGCACAATATATAAACAATAACATAACAAAATACTGAGACGGTTCCCAGAGGAACACTGGTCTACTGAGAGGGTTCCCATGAGCACTGGTCTACTGAGAGGGTTCCCAGAGGAGCGCTGATCTATTGAGACGGTTCCCAGAGGAACACTGGTCTACTGAGTCTGGTCTACTTCTGTGATTGGCCACGCCCACTGCACCCTTTTGGCCAGTGGGAGCGGAATGTTAATGAGTTCGAGGTTAACCAATTAACTACTTTTCTATGAAAGTTTGTGCAAATATGTTCATACATTTTTGAGATCCTGCTGACAAACTGGAGCAAAATCAGATTTTTTAATTGTGTTAATGTTTCACACTCGACATTAATGAAGTCCTGTTGTACACTACAGTGCACATGTTGACAAAGTTTAATAAAGTTATGTTTAAAAAAAACAATCTTTGCAATGTGTTTTTTACCACCTCAACACTTAATTTATTAAAATAAATAAATAATTAAAACACTTTTTTTCCTGGGTCTCAGGAGGATACATACAGTATATATATATATGCATTTATATATATATATATATATATTAAGAGGCTTTACATGGTCAGTGGTGACCTCTAACCTCTTGTCTTCATGTTTACTTTTAAACAAAAAGAACAAAAATAAGATTCTCAGTTAATTTATTAAAACATTTCAATAAACATTAAATCTGATGTTTTATTCATTGAGATGTTTCTGAACTTTCTTCTTTTCACATTTTTCTCCTGAAACATAAACAGTGAAATAATTTTATTATTTAAGAAAACGAAAACAAGTTTTTATCAAATTAAATATTCAGTTTGAGTTTAATTAGTTTAATTAATTAAAGAGTTCCACACCGATCACTTCACAGCTCATCAATACTATGGTCAGAAGACAGTTGCTGGTCCTGGTCCTGGTCTCGACTCTAGCTCTGACTCTGGTTCTGGTCCTGGCTCTCGCTCTGAGTCTGACTCTGGTTCTGGTTCTGGTCCTGGTCCTCTGATCCGGTTGTCTGGTTGTCCCTCCGTCTCTTGGTCTCCATCTCCGTGACGAGGTAGAAGTGGTCCTCAGCTCTGGCCATCAGCTGGTTCTGGTTCTGGTCCTGGTCCTCTCGTCCCCCGTCCTCGTCCCGGCTCTGCTCAGACCGGCTCCTCTCCTTCAGACGGATCTCTCTCTGCCGGGCCTCCAGGATCTTCTCTCGCTTTGTCTCTCGCTCAAACATCTGTTTAATATAAAATAACTGTTAAATACTGTATATATAATATAAATATATTATATATATATCAGTGGCGGGCCGTTCATTTTATACCTGGGCCTTCAGTGCTGTCCTGAAGCTGAAACACCTCCTAATAATCTCATTATGACGCCACAACTACGGTTATTTGTTTCTAGGGGTGTAACAATAGAAGTATTCGTATTAAACCGTCGGTACGAGGCTTACGAACCGAACAATACGTTTGAATAATACTGGTGCATTTGGAAAATGCAGAAGCTTAAATTGTGGGAAATATAATGTTTTCTGCGCTAACGTAGGAGACAACAGGCTGTGACAACTCAACCCGGAACAAAAAAAAATGAAACAAAAGACAGCTGTGTGTTCTGGGAGGCTACGCTAAACTAGCTTAACAAACAATAACTCCGCGCATGACGGTATGCTTCATAATTAACGGACAATGCATTTAGTCCAAATTTATATAATTAACACAATGACAAGAACAAACTCACAAGAACCAGTCACATATAGTATTTACATGACAACAAAGCAACAAATCAATCCAGCAACACTGCAGCAACACGCATTCTGCTGCACACTCGAGGGCCATTCAGATATTAGATGTAAAAAAACAAATGCAGTTGACTTAAAGACAAACTCCATCCTCCTTTCTTTGTTGTCAAAGAGTTTAATCCGGTTAAATCCCAACTCACGAATCCATTTCTCCTCCTTCAGCCATAAAAAAACAAAGCTAGCTAAAAATAAAAATAATCTACACCAAGCAAAATGCAAAAAATGTCATAATTTCTTCCATATCTTTCAATTTGAACTCTTACCCAAAGAGATTATTTTAGGATTTTACTTTCACAACTTCAACGTTAAACGTACTGCTCTGCAATGTCTTTCCTCGTCTCAGCCCCCTGTGTCATGGTGTGTGGTACATCTCACTCAGTCAGAATGCCCATATTTGATTGGTTGAGCTGCATCACGTGATGTAATTCACTACCCGATTAAGCCTCTGCTGTTAAGTTTCGTTTCACGATAGTCACATGCTCACCCACTGACCAATCGCAGCACACTCTGCACCTCACTGCAGAGCTGCACCTGGACACTGAGCTGCACGTAATGCTGACGTACTTGTAGGCCAGCGAGCAGGCTCTGACACATCAAAGAATACACCCAACATGTCAAACTAAAGATCTGATTGGTTGAACACTATGACAATCAACAATATCGTCCCCATTCACTTAAAGTGCACATGGATTCACTTGTGAGTCTGCAGGCCTCTGCCTCTGTTCTTACCTAGAGACACAGAGGTGAGATCTGATTGGATAAAAGCTCTACTTAAAACAAGCTGCACTGGAAGCAGAGCAACTGAGGAAGACAGTAGCTGTGCAATTGGAACATAAGACAATGGGGAAAATATTTTTATAAATTATAATACATGTAGTGTATTTAAGAAAAATTATTAAATTATAAAATAGCTATAACTTTGTGATTCTCTGTAGGCTAGCAGAGAAGGCTTTGCAGGCCCTGAAGGACCACCACTGGTATATATATATATATATTTATAATATATTTGTCCTGACAGCAGCCAGAAGACTCTTCTCGTTCTTCTGAAGCGTCGACAGTCCAGAGTTGATCTCCAGCAGCGTAGCTCCGCCCCTCTGAGAGCCGCACGCCACCAACCGCCCGGTTTCATGTAGACGGAGGCTGTACAGGGCCTCATCACACACCTGAGGACCAGTTAGGGTTAGTTAGACCAGGTAACCAGTAGGACCAGTTTGGGTTAGTTAGACCAGGTAACTAGTAGGACCTGGTTAGGTTAGTTAGACCAGGTAACCAGTAGGACCAGTTGGGGCTAGTTAGACCAGATAACCAGTAGGACCTGGTTGTTAGGGTTAGTAAGACCAGATAACCAGTAGGACCGTTGAACTCTCTTGGTAGACCAGGGTCCTGCTGGTCCACTAGAAGGAGACTTAGTTCTTTATAGTGGATCAGTGAGCTGGACTCACCTTGAGACTCAGTGTGGGGTCGTTCTGTTTAAACAAGATGTCCCAGACGTCCAAAATGCCGTCCATCTTCACAGTGAAGAAGACGGAGGGACGGACGGGACTCCAGCAGGCGTCCGTCAGATACGACATCTGATACCTGACAGGAGGTAAAGTCTGGTTTGAGTAACAGGAAGTCCACATGGAGACCAGAAGGGACAAGACTGGAAAGAATCAGGTGAGATAATACGAACCAGGACAAGATGAAGACAGGAGACAACAGAGGGGACCGGATTATAAAGAAAGCTTTAAAAGTGGGTCCTACTTGGTCCACATGATGGAGGACTCCTTGATGTCCTCGGACCAGATGCGGGCCGTCCAGTCCCCCACAGTGAGGAAGTTTTTGGGGAAGAAAGGGTTCCTCTGCAGAGCGTAGACGGGTCCCTCATGTCCATCATACGTACAGACGATCTTCTCTGAAGGAGTCTTTGCCTTCCTGTTACAGGACACAACCAGACCCTCTTCTGTCCCCACCATGAATTTAGTAGGCTGTGGAGACAGGGGGACAGAGAGACACTATGAGACAGGTGGGACACTTTCAGACAGGGGGACAGAGAGACACTATGAGACAGGGGGGACACTTTGAGACAGGGGGACAGACAGACACTTTGAGACAGGGGGGACTAAGATTAAGGCTGACTCAATGAATCTGAGTTTTGGGGTCTAAGGAACCTCAGACCAGGATCCCACCTGTAGAGCCCCGATAGAGACAGCCTTGGTGTGCTGAATCCTGGCTGTTGCAGGGACACAGAGCATCATCTCTCTGGAGTGATACAGTCTAGATATAGTACACAACCTCCGTCTTCACTGAGCTGGGTCCTAACTTCTAAGCCGGTCTTTGTTAAGACCAGTCTTCTGAACGGACTCTATGTATGTTGCACCAACCGATCAAAGCCTCACTTCACTACGTCTGGTCTGAAAAGATGCACGTTCATATGAACGGACACACAATCTTACGCTGTACTGGTAGATCCTGGTGGTTCTGATCCATATGGTCAGCCTGCTGAGACTCGTACAACCGGTTCATAGCTTTTAGCTAACGATGGTAGCAGATACCGGGTCAAGACGAGCCTCATCTCCACAGTCGGCCCACGTCTACAACCTTCTTCAGCACCACTCACTCGTGTCTCACTGGGGTCTAGGACCATCGTTTGGACTGAAGACCAGAGATTTCACCACATACAACTAGGGATGGGTATCGCTTGGTTTTTTTCCGATACTGGTGCTAAAACGATACTTTTAAAACGATACCGGTGCCTAAATGGTGCCTGAACCGATACTTTTTTCTTCAAATTGAACAATATATTAACTGTTTAAAGTATACTATAAATATAAATAAATACAAAACACTTGGCTTCAAACTACAGCTTCAAACTTTTTAACTTCAAACTATGAACAATATATTAACTGTTAACAGTTTACAGTATACTTAAATAAATATAAATAAATACAAAACACACACACTCTGTACACACACTACAGCTTCAAACTTCAGCAATTCTTTTGCAGAAATATGAGCATATTTGCCTTCTCTGGCAAAATACGACACCTCTCCTGACTTATTTTATTTTACCAGTTGGTGGCGCTAATGCGCCAATTCATCGTTTGCCAACCGCCACTACACCTCAATGAAGAAGAAGAAGGTTTCGCGTCCTGTGGATGTTGTGCTTATGAGCGTCAGCGCTAAGTACCCGGATGTCGATGGAGGAAGTCAGTAGCCTGCCAGCCATTTGACAGATCTCGTTCTCGTTTTTTTTTTTTTTTAATAAATCATGGCCGAAGCTTTGCCAGAATGATGGAGGGGTTTGTTTCTAAGCGCGTACGGCTCGTCCGGTTGTAATAATACTATGTGTGAGGAGCGGAGGACCGAGGCTCTCGTTACCTTCTGCCAGGATGGAGTCATCAGAGTAGTGTAAAAAAAGTATTTCATTCGGCTCAGGCACCGAAAGGAAGCACTGAAATCTGCGTTGCGTTTCAGTCCGGTAGGTACCGGTTTTCGGTACCCAACCCTACATACAACCCACGAGGGTCCACTTTAGTCTGGGACGGATCAGGATCACACTGTACAAGGGTCTTAAAATGTGAGTCCTGCTGTAAACACAGCAACAGATAAACCTCACCATGGTAGACTCAAAGTCCAGAGAGATGGCTCCTAAAGCTCGGTCCAGGTTTCCTTCCCTGCTCGGGTCCAGAACCAGACGCTCTGTGGGCTCACTCAACCGGCGGACGTCCCACCACAGAACCTGACGGAGAGAGGAGAGACTTTGAGCTGTCTGTCATTATAACAGTCCCTCTGGTCAGTCTACTTGTCTGTCCGTGGTCAGTGTACCTGTCCATCAGTAGATACAGAGAAAGCGTCTGTCCCAGTCTTAGACTGCAGCCAGATGATCTTGTAGACTGGGTCTCTGTGACTGTGCTCCACAGAGGAAACCTCCACTGGCTGGCTGCCTCTCCGAGTGTCCCAGTATGCTAAAACAAACACAACGACAGTTTCATAAACTCCTCACTGACAGGTAAAAGTCTGTCAGTCTTAACCTGAACCCACCGATCTGTCCGTTGTAGCTGCCTCCCACGAGAGTGTGGCAGTCTTTAGGGTTGTACTCCAGACAGACGAGTGGAGACGCCGGCTTCAGAGTCATCTCTGGTCTGTTCGGGTTCTCTGAAACAAAACATGAATCTATCTGTGAACTCTGGACTCTGTGAATCCAGCTGCTGTCTGTGCATCTGTCTTACACACCGATGTCCCAGATGTAGGAGTCCGGGCTCATGTCTTTAGAGGTTTTCTGGAACTCAAGGCAAGAGTAGGCAGCCGCCAGCTTCCTGCCACCGTCAGGATGCCACGACAGACCGGTGACGGTCCGCTTCAGCTCGTTAGGATCTCTGAGGAAACATTAAAGATCGACCGACATCCAGAGGAACGAACGCATTAACGATCGACCGACA